TCTGTCCCTAACTCAACAATTCACGTGCTTGCCTTCTTACAAAACCAGAACACAGTAAGATAATGAAATTAAGTAACCTATTTTTACCTTTTTAAAGCATGTTTAAAAGGTTAAGTGAAAACAGAACTAGATCAACTTCCAGTGTTAAATGGTTGCATGTTTTAAACCTGTCAAGTTCAGCAAGATTCCTTTTAAACCACTCTATACACATACTGCAATACTGTTAACACAAAATGTTAAATTCCTCCTCAAAGGAGAGAAAGGTTTTCCCAATTTGTTACTTACTGCAAAACAACTGAACACTTGAAGTTCAAACCAAAAAAATTATAATGTAATCAACACACATATTCCCTTCAAGATTAAGGAAAAGTGGTTGCTATTAATTTTTGAAACCAAGGCTATGCATATTTTAACATCTGGATAAAATAAACCTGTATCAATAAAATGTCCATTCATATTAGTTCATTTTACAGATTAAACTACCCAAGATGTCACAAATTTGCTCTCTTGCATTATCTGTGTTTGGGGATGAAGACCAAACAATAAAACCAAACTAACCTGAGTTAAAAGGGTCTGCTGAGGTTGCTGCAACTTAAAATAAATAAAGTTATAAATTAATTTTATATGCTTAAGGAAATCGTACAATTTTACCTCCTCTTTACAAGTAAGAGTTTTTGCTTAATCTGAGTCAGTTAATAGTCCTTTGGGGTTTGGCAATTTCAGCAGTTTGCATACGCATAAAATTGTGCGCATGTGGTTAATTTTAAGATTGTATAATCCAGGTTTATTCAGTAAGCAGAAACGCTGGGTTTTTTCGAACTGAAAGTTAATAGCGATACCAAAAAAAGTTTTGGCAGCTGGAGAAGCTTAAGCCTGTAATTTCCATGTCCTTTTAGTCTTTTTCAAAATCCTGTTAAGTTCAAAGACCATAAAAAAAAAAAATGTCAAAGGGAACTTTTTTTGGACAGCATCTTTCCAGCAGTTAAAATACACGGCCCTGTTTAGAGCAAAGTTTAGCAGGAATCATGTACACATGGAATAGCATGTATTTTTAAATCTCCTTTTTGCATTAAGGCAGGCAGGTTTCCACTCTGGATACATCTCTCCAAGTTTATGAACTTCAAGCTCTCTTTCACTACAAAAAGACATTACTTAGTTTCTTTAACAACTTCCCATACGAGGATGATTTTGAAAACAAATCCTGCAAGACACACAACCAGCATTATTTTTAAACTTATTTGTGATGTACACAGTAAGAATCAGACAAACCTGTTGCTGTACACTATAGAGAGTCTGCTGAGGTTGTGAATATTGCTGAAACAGATAAAAGCAAAATATCTCATAAACAGGAAGCATTATTACCCCAATAATACCAAATACAAGTTATCTACTAAGCCCGTTTTAGATAAAAACTATTCACATTTAACAATTCTAATACCAAATATAACTAATAATATCAACATATATTACTTTCATAATAAATATTTTTAGCCTTTAGAGTGGACTCTGATGTACTCCTTCTCGCTAAAATCAGCAACTTTTGTGAAGCTTGACACTTACACAGTATCTAGGGCACAGTATGAAATCATGAAAAATGCTATTAAGGATACATATAGCGATATAGGGCACACATAGATACTTAGAACTTGAAATTCTCAGATTAGGTGCAGCAAAACTCCTTTTCCCAAAAGGCTTTCCATAGCTAAATGTCAGCACCTCCATAGGCAAAATTCCCACCTTCACAGATTGATACAACTATTGATAGCAGTAGACCTAAAATCCCACTGTTTTATAAACAGGTTTATACTGCATTTCCCATTCTGCTTTTCTCCCGGATATTTTAGCTTTACAAAGCCACTGTTTCATATTGTTAAATTTCATACAGTCAACAGCAAATGCTCCTTTTTCTTTACCTGCTGTAACGCAGCTGCTGCAGCTGCAGCTTGCTGCTGTAAAGCAGCTGTCTGAGTTAGCTGATAGTTCGTTGGTGTTTGTGTAGTTAGGCCTGCTGCTGCCAATGCCGTCTGCTGGGTGTATATTGTAGGAGAGGCTCCAAGCAGCGATGGCTGCTGTACACCGAGAGCAGCTGAAAAGAGAACACACACGATAAGCACTAAGAGCAACTTTAAACAGCTGACGTTTCTGACAGTTGTACTAGACGCAGCAAGCGATGCTTCACTCCTGAGTTAAGCTCATGAAGTAGATAAATCCAATTCCAAAATTCAAGATAAAGGACATCTCACTAGCTTCTCTTAAATTCATTTACAAACAGGACACCACAGCAGAGGCAAACAGACCACTTAATTTCCTTCTCTCAAGCTGTTCATGATTTTATAGCTCTAGTAGTTGTCACCCCCATCTGCGCCCACACCCAACACATACACACACTGTATTCTTTCTTGAACGTATTTCAGGTTTTGGATGAGCCATATGAAGATTGCTGCTCTGTTCTGTAAATTAATTAATACATTTCATTCTATGTGAAGGCAAGAGAAATCTTTCCTGTAAGAGCAGCTATGAAACAGAGGCTTATGGAGCATGTCCTCTGAAAATGCACAAGGCTTCGCTTCACTCAGTACTGTCTTTGTCCCCCAAGTGAGCTGAATTTTGTAGATGTTGGGGGCTGGTGGAGCAGGAACAGCCTTATAACAACAGAGAGTTTAATCAGTGCCCACATGTAAAGGGACCAAGTCAAGCTCTCTCCAGCTCTTACTAGGAAGGGTTTGCACTGCTCAGACTCAAACAGCCTGAAAAACTAGTTTATTTTACTGTCATATCAGCTTTTAACTCACTGCAGAAGATTAAGCAAATCGTGAGGAGCAGCTATCCACGTGCTATGCTTCTTATGCATGCAATACTTCCGAACAAGGTATGCTCCTGCCTTATGGTAGAACTTTTAGGACAAAGAACCCTGCACAATGCAAATCTGAGTGAAGAACTACTAACATCTCTGGCAACCTGCTCCCTCTTTGGCAGGAGCTTTAAAAAAAAGTTATCCGCAGCTGCATGATCAAGTATCACTTCATCAGGCTATCGGCACAGTCCACATGTTTAAATAAAGCCAAAGAGAAACTCAGCAGGGAAACATATTGCCAGCAAAACCAGGTCAGCCAGCCACCTTCAGAACATTCAAGTTGAACAGCGTGCCATTAAAGAGGCACAATGAAATGAAGAACAGATTTACAGTATTCTTCCTGCAGAGTTTGCGCTCCACGCTATTCTTCCTGATCCAAAATGAAGCTTTCATTCCAGACCCAGAGGTACAGGAGGAGATTGCTTGTAGTTGGTGACCATCACCACAGAATACACAAAAATGCTGCAACCAACTCAACAGATCCTGAATAAGGTAATCCTCTCTACCACACTGTTCCATCCAATAGAGTACAATCTTCTGAAAACAAGTTGATGGCACCGATCATGTTACAATTTTGGAATGAAACATGCAAGAAATACATAAGCAATAGTGAAAAATAATCACCACCACTATGATCTATACAAAATATTGTCACATAAGTATTCCAGGAAGTTATACTATTTTAATAGTGAAATCAAGCATTCTATTGTATAGCAAAATCACAGTGTTTCCAGTACTACGTTCATTTTTTCCCTGGAAAATTCCAACATTCGGGTTTCTTTAGAAGCCAAGAAAGCCAAATCTGAGGTTTCTCCCATGACAGGCCCTCCATTCTCTTGATTCTCATGCCTCCTGCTTGTCCATCAGCTCCAATCTGAATGTGCATTTTTGACCATTCAGAAGCACACTCTCATCTGGAACCTCACCAATGCCTCACATAACACACCTTAAACAGACCTTTGAATCTCATGAAAATATTTTGCTGCTGCATCCTGGGACAACTTTCACTGCTCTTGGCTGCGTTACTTTGCTGGCTCACTCAAGGCAAATAACCAATGCATTAATCTTTCTCCTCTTATTTCCACATGCTGAGCAGAAATTCCTATTACTGCAGAAATTCACCTCATGCTATTACCTTTGAATCTGTCTGACTATGCCAGCTACTGTCATTCAGTCTAATGTTCTATTCTAATGTTGTTCCAACAGTGGGATGGAGTTGGGAAGCGTCATCAAGCAAGTTTTGCAAGTCCTCTCCTACTTTTGTACCAAGGATACCCACAAAAATATTAACATACTTGCTCCCAAAACCAGATCTTGGGGTTACTCCACTCTTCAGTTCCACTATGACATTTCCCTCCCAACATAACCCATAATTATCTCAAACAATTCCCAGCCCACCCTAGGACTCTTATCTCATTTTTTCCATTAAGGAGAAAAAAAGAAAAAAAGTTTTTTGCCACCTTTACCATCACTTTATGAGCATTTAATACTAACTGAGTCTCATCTCATCTACAACCCTGCAGATCAACTTAACTAACAAAGGGCAAAGACAAAAGACTGCTGAGATCCCCTCAAAGGATAACACCTGTAGAAACAAGTTTTTCAAAGCATCTCCTTCCTACCAATTAATCCCAAAGTATTCCAGGAGTTTAATTTGACTACCTTTCATCTACATACTCATCTCGGTCAAATAGGCTCCAATTAAACAGACGACTACGTTTGCATTACTAGTTTAAAAAAAAAAAAAAAGAAGGAAAGAAAGAAAAAGGAAAAATCACACAGAAAAACAAGAGCCAGAGAATGAATCTCAAACTGACTGCGGCATTGACACACGACTGCCACATTATTATTATTGGCAACAAGTATCTGCAGTGACAAACAATAGCTTCTTAGGATTTGTAATTATCTCAGTAAGTACAGCGATGGAGACGCCTTCCTTCAAATGCTGGCTAAACAACTTCCACTCACACCAAATACTACATGACACGGCCATCTGAAAGGGCTTGCATAGAAACTGGAGTCCTAGGATGCAGCTCAAGCATCTTCCTACATAACAGAAATTTCTGTTGTAGTAAACACAAAAATTGTACTTAGTTGTCCCTCTTGCTGCTTCTAAATTCCAGAGACCCTTTAAGATTAGGGAAACATCTTTAAAGTATGTAGCCACATATATCTCCTTGGTAAGTGATTCAGATTTATTAGGGTTACAGTAAAGGAGTACCCTATCCAGGGCTTTGGACACTTCTCACAGTTGTCAGAATTTGTGAGTTTGGGCCCTTGGTTTAAGTTTCTTCAAGCTTAACACACTTGCAATACAAATGCCATACAACCTAGTAAAAAAAAATTTTTCCTTTTAACAGGCAAACAACAGAAACGAGGCTCAGCATATTTATCACAGGACATCTGTTTACAGCAAGCCAGCAAACTGCATCAGCTACTATTTCTCAGTGGCTCCGAGATCCACTACGTGCTTGTCCTATTCTTACACTTCTCTTTAGTCACCTCATAGGGGCCGCCAGCAATAACAACATACTGAGCTTCATGCACTTTTGCTTTCATCAGGTGCACTACTCTTCACTCTAATGCAATGAAGTCTTGATATAGCAAAGACGATGACACCAATCAGTCAGAACGCAGCATAGCTAGGACTTCCCCTTGACTACAGTTCTATAAAAACAGGCTTCACTATGCAATCATAACCCTGAGAACAGCATATGACAAGCACTGCAATACAAACCAAAGACATGTCAAAAATCAATAGCTGAGAGAATACGAGAGGATTCTCCTTTGCAGACATTTCAGAAACTTGCTAATCATTATGCAAGTTCAAAGCATAAAGAGAACTTGCAAAAAGCAATCTCTGCTATCTAGGAATTTTAAAGTTTTAAATTTTTTTAAACTTTAGTTCTCTGTAGAAGGCATGATTTAATTTATGCTTTAACAATGCTTAACCAGCATAGGAGGAACTTTATTCTGGTTTTAGTCATGTGATGCACAAAACCATGAGACAAGGAGGAGAGAAACAATTTCACTGTGTTACAAGTAGGAGTCGCTCTTCACACATAGATCTCTGCTGGCATCTAGAATTGCCCGTCTCTCTTCTAAATCCACAGGCACAGACAGCAATTAGTAAGCTATCCCAAAGGGATCCCAGGAATCCTTCATTACATGGCATGTCACTCTACAACTACCTTAGAGTGTCACACCTTAGTAATTAAGAGCCTCAACTCATATAGTTACTTCTTCACCAGGGACAGCCAAGACGGCATCCAAGTCAGCAATACAAAAAAAAAAACCACCCCAAAACAAAAAACCAAACCCCAATCCTGAAATTACCATTTTGCAGTTATCAAATTCGGTTTATAACACCATCACTCACCACTGTTGTAAACAGCTTAGGAAAAAGCAATATATCATGTTGTTTGTGTTATAAAGATCAAGATCTCTTTCCCCCATACCCAAGCACCTTGATGCTTTGGAGAAGGAACCTGACACTTGGCTAAAAATAGCTCACATGCAGAAATACATGTAAGACCTTTGGCCAATCCTCTGAAAAATATATAAAAATTTGGTAAATGTAGTTTTTTAAAATCACTTTATGAACACCGAGATTCACAAGGGTAAGCCAATCTGCACAACTTCTTGAGCATAGCTGCAGGTGCGAAGTAGTACATGCTAGTCAGCATGCCTGAGCACTGATGGCATCTCTATCAGGCAATCAACCTAGCTGGACAGTCACAGCTTCACGTTAAAAGGGGCATGAAAGGTGACCACTTAGCTGCAGTTCAACGGTAAACACTGTTCTTCAGCTCTCAACTGTGCCAAAGAGCACTACGTCCTTTGCAACAGAAGTTTCCTGTGCACTATATTATAAACCATTATAAATCAGAGTCGCCAATAAAAAAAAGCAGGGGAACAAGTATGAACATGGGTACTAAAACAGCAGCTGGGCAATATTATCCCAGGGACTGGATTCAGTAGTACAGACAGGAAAGAAAGAGAACGCAAACACGGCAATTGTGTATTGCAGTAGGAACAGGAAAGGACTTCACACAAGGACACAAGGAGCTAAATGCCCTCAAGCGATACTGGACAGAACATACTACAGTGTGAAGAGGGACACTAGGAACGTCAAGGAAGGTGGAACTAGCACAGGAAGAAGGCAAAAGTGCAACCAAATGTTGGTCTTTAATGGCTCTCATGTTTGAGTCAGGTGCTGTTGGATCAGATGAACAGCTAAAAATCCCTGGAGATACTGTCCTCATTAAGCAGGTGAAAAATCTCCCAGACAACTGATGCTGACCAGTCCTATCCCAATTAAATTTTGCATTTAATTTAATTTAAGGAGGCTCAGAAGTAAGCTAACGAAAGGCAGAGTCTTAAGAATAAGAAAATGGATAAGAAGTTGGTGTGTGATTCTAGTGCCCTTGCTCCGTTCACCTCTTCTCCAAGGCCCCCTTCTGGTCCTAGTTCAGTGAGGTCTAAGATGGCTGCCAGCTCCTCCCCTTCAGCAGATTTTCTGCAGTTTTCCCTCTGAAACGGGACACAGAGCTGGCCCTCAGTCTTCCACCACTATTTTTGATGCGCTAGCTGTCACATCAGCCAACGTATCGAGAATACTCCAGCCCAGACGCTGCCAACCTTTGACTACTCCAAGGTATCACCGAGTCAGACACGAGAACCAAAAGCAAAGTATGTCTTTCCCATGTTCCCAATGCCAACCCTTTCCAGCCGTTAAGCAATTTCTTACAGAAGGTCAGTAGAGCTATTTGAAGGAGGGTCATGCTATTTGGATAAGGAAACTGTGAGCTATTCAGAGAAACAGTGAAAAATTGCTTGCAGGCAGCTGGTTACAGCAACAGTTTAGGTAGAGAGTAGGACTGAATGGGCATGGAAGAAAAGGGAAAGGCACACTAGAACCGAGTATTGTGAAACACATGGCGGGGGGGCGGGGTGGCAGTTCCCTGAGGATATGCACTCAGATTGGACCAGTGCCCAAAGGAAAAACTGGAGATGGAGGACTCATTTCGGGAAAGAAAACTGAGTCAGGAGAAAGATCTGTTCTCCCGCCCTGCCCCAACATGCACCTCCAAAGAATGGCAGGCATTCCCAACTTTTGCTAAGCTTCCAGATGTAAAACCACTGACAGGGGAGGGATGTCATTCAACTTCATATCAAACCAGAGCAAGATGCAACAGACAATTACAAAAAAACATACAACTCTTTGGAAAGACATCCTTCAACAAGAATACTGCCTGTGCTCACATTTTGACATCCTGAATCCTCAAAGTACCAGCACTTTGCTGAAGCCTTTTGACATCAGACAATGAAACTACAATATTTAGGAAACACTTCGTATTCAAGAAGAGAAATAGGCATCCCAGAACTAGAAACGGAAGCAGCCAGATTCACCACGCAGCAAGCTTCACATTCTTGCCTCAAAACCTTTTACGCTATAAACCAATCTGAAACATTAAAATCTAGCCAGCTAGGTTTTAAAATATACTAGCCTGCAATTAAATAAGGCTTCTTAGCTAAATCAAAGGAAACCCTCTACCATTATCCGGGTGATACCTTTAGTTATAGGGATCCTTGAGTTCTAACTTGACATTAAAAAAAAAAAATAGCCCCTTCCCACCCAAGTAACAAATTTCAGAGACCTCTTCACTATGTGAAGTATGTCCTATACATTAATAAAGGCAAAATACTTTGTAAACATTGATTTCAGCTGCCCTGGAAACAAAACTCAGGCAGCACTTAAAAAATCTGTAATGCCTTATTACTGCTGTCATTATTTAATCTAAAGCAACGCAATTTGATGAAAGGTAATTTGATTTACACATCTCAGGATCTGAGTAACTTGATATGTTGTTTACTGACCAAGAGAATCAATAAAAATTCACCTGGGATTTTACTTATCACCCCTTACAAAAAAAAAAACAAAAACAACCAAACGAAAAGCTAGTATTAGGCAATGATCTTTAATGTTCCTATTGTGTGAAAAACTCCCAACTTAAGCCATTTAAATAGAATTTAAGTAAGTTAGTTAGCGTGGTGCCACTCAACTGCATACCCAACTATGGAATCTCCAAATCTACTAGATGTCAGGGTTCAAACATTAAGTGATATGTAAACTGACCTGGCTGAGATACTGCAGTGGCTGTAAACTGAGTAGCCCAAGGGGGATTCTTCTGTCCTCCAAACTGAGCCATGGCGAAAGGCAAAATCTCCTGGGTCTCTATCTTCTATAACTGCAATCTATTAAAATAAAGCGCAGCTACAATCTCTGAAACATATAGCATCGGACTATTTTAATTCTGGGTCAAAAAAAAAAAAGGAAAAAAGAAAAAAGTGTTGAAATATTATCTTTACACCCCTAAACCTGATGGGCAACACGCATCAAAAGTGGGAAACACAGAAAGTTGCAAGACAAGTTATTATATTTTCCTAAGGCATGATCTCCACCCTCCCCTCCTCAACTACGGGACTAACGCTATTTAAATGCAAAAATTTATTCAAGTTTCCAGTGAAGACTAAGGGAAAGGTGACTCTATAGAACGAAGATTCTTTTATTTTTTTACTATTTCTTTTTCAAGGCTACTGCTACGCCGCCGTTTGGAAGCGCAGCCGGCAGAGGAGGAAGGTACGCCTTCAGCCACGGCTCAGTCTCCCTCTCCCCGAACAAGGGCAAGTGAACCACGCGAACATGGCAGGGCCGCTCACCAACTCCACCGCTTCCCTCCCTTCCTCCCCCCCGCTCCCGCCGGGGGAACCGCCCGCTGCTTGGCCGCAACGATTATTTTTTAAAACGACTTTAAGCTCCCCCTCAGCACCGCTAA